ATTTTTTTCCTCTTAATTTTCTGCTGGATCTCTGGGACCGACTTATTGAATTGGAAGGAGTTGTCTTCGATCTCCGAGATTCTTTCTTCTGCTCGATCTCCCCTGTTCTTGGGGCTTTCCACGGTGTGTTTGAGTTCCCTGTGTAAGTCCATTTCCAGGAGATCGGTTTGACTTTTCTTTAATATTTCAATTTCTTTAGTGAATTTTTCTTCCAAGGCCTGGAGTTTTTCTATGATTTCTTTGTGTTGCTCATCCATCTTTTCTTCCATACCATTCAGTTTTCTTACAATCCATGCTCGAAATTCTTCTTCCGTCATTTTAGCGTTCTGAGTTCGGTTAACGTCCATGGCTGGGGAGCTCTCGTTCCGCTTTGGGGGTGCGCTTTCCGTTTGCGTCTTTGCACTTCCCGAGTTCTTGCGCTGGTTCCTTCCCATCTGGATCAGCTGTTCCTTCTTGCCTTTAGATTTTCGTTTGGATAACAACACGCCCTGTTTAGTCTCTGAGCCGGTAGGTGGTGTTTGTGGGTGAGATTCGACCACGCCCTTTATGCCGAATCGGTAGATGCAGTAAAAGCGTGTGCAGGATGACGTCCCCGTCAGTATGTGGCACTTGCACGGAGGAGCGAGCTGCGGTGCTGTTTTTGGGTCCAGTAACCAGCTCTTTTTCCTCCAGAGAGGCCCTCTTGTGCCTCCGGAGGTGAGTGGGGCCCTGGGGTTTCCAGGTGTGTCCTTATTCTGCACCCTTGTCGCTGGTCTCCAAGCCTCTCGGGACCTCTCTCCTTCCAGTTCTCCTCCGCGATGTCTTCCCGTGGAGTCTCCTGCGGTTTCGGGCACCCTTCCTTCCGACCCTCACCCGATCTGTGTTTCTCTGCTCTCTTATTTTTTTTCTCTTTCTTCTAAAATTCATCTTTTTTGCAGAGACCTTCTGACTGGCGGTTTGTCTCATCCGCCATCTTGGCTCCTCTCCTCCCATCTTTTGGGCAGGGGAGTTTTTTACTTTATTTGTGCAGGTCTGGAACCATCATGGCTTCCAAAGCCCATTCAAGGGGGCAGTAATATATGGTTAATGATGGTATAATGAATCACTTGAGGACACTCTTGCCCTCCATCTGTGCAGGTGCCTCCCAAGGGGCTTCCCCAAACTGGACTAAAACAAGGTGTTTCTAAAATGATTACCATAGCAACTTGACCATAGATTTTGTTTTTATTGATCTGTGACCCTAATTTTGTCCTGCTTTTCTGCCCCACTTGTGTTTCCTATTCTGGTCTCCTGCCTCACCTTTATTGCTGGTTTTCTGAGAATTTTTATCATGAATAGGTGGTAAATTTTGTCAGATGCTTTTCTGCATTGATGGAAGAGGTTATGTCATTTTTCTTCTTTAAGTCTATTAATATGGTGGATTACATTGATCGTTGAATTATTAAACAAACTTTGCTGCATCTCTGAAATAAAACCCACTTGGTGATAGTATGCAGTTCTTTTTATATATTGGTGAATTCTAGTTTCTTATATTTTGTTAAGGATTTTATATCTGTATTCATGAGGGATATTGGTTTGCAGTTTTCTTTTTTTTATGTTTTTGTCTGTTTTTTCCATCAGGGTAATAATACTGGCTGTATAAAATTGAGTTGAGAAGTATTCCCTCCTCTTCTTTCTGGATGAGATTGTGTAGAAATTGTGTTAATTTTTCTTTAAATGTTTGTTAGAATTCTCCAGTGAAACCCTCTGGGTCCGAAGATTCTATTGGAGGAGTTTTAGAATTATGAATTCAAATTTGAAAATAGCTACAGAGCTATTTAAGTTATCTATTTTATATTGGTTGAATTCTGGTAGTTTGTGCCTTTTGAGGAATTAGTCCATTTTATGTGTCAAATTTATGTGTAAGTTGTTTGTAGTATTATGATTTAGATGTCTGCAGGGTCTATGTGGCATCCTCTGTTTCATTCCTAATGCCAGTAATTTGTTTTTGACAAAATTCTTTCTTTCTTAGTCTTGCTAGATAGAGGTTTATCATATTTATTGATCTTTCAAAGCACTAGCTCCCACCCACCCCACTGATTTTTTTCTTTTTGTCTTTACTTTCATTGGTTTCTGTTTGCTGTGGGTTCATTTGGCTCTTCTTAGTCTAGATTCTTGACGAGGGAGGTTACGTTACTGATTAGAGACATTTCCTATTTTCTGTTGTATGCACGTATTGCTGTAGATCTCCCTGTCAGCACTACTTTAGCTGTGCCTCACAAATTTTGATATGTTGTATTTTCATCTTTATTTAATTCATTGTATCTTTAGATTTTCCTTGAGATTTCCTGTTTGCACTATGGATTACTTAAACAACCATTGTGCAGTTTCTATGTATTTGGAGATTTTCTTGTTATCTTTCTGTTGTTGTTTTCTAATTTGATTCCATTAGTTCTCAGAGAACATACTTTGCATAATTTTAATTTTTTAAATATGTTTAGATTTGTTTCGTGGCCCAGATACAGTCTCTCTTGGTAAATGTTCAGTGGGCATTTGAAAATAATGTGTGTTCTATTGTCATTGGTAGAGTATTCTATAAATGTTCATTATTAAATCCTTAATTTTTTTTTTTTTTTTCTGAGACAGAGTCTCGCTCTGTTACCCAGGTAGAGTGCTGTGGCATCAGCTTAGCTCACAGCAACCTCAAACTGCTGGGCTCAAGCCATCCTCCTGCCTCAGCCTCTCATATAGCTGGGTCTACAGGCATGCACAACCACGCCTGGCTAATTTTTTTTCTATTTGTAGTTGCCTGGCCAATATCTTTCTATTTTTGGTAGAGATAGGGTCTCGCTCTTGCAGAGGCCGATCTTGAACCCCTGAGCTCAAGGGGTCCTCCGGCCTGGACCTCCCAGAGTGCTAGGAGTACAGGCGTGAGCCATCACACCCAGCCTTTATTAGATCCTATTGATTGATGTTATTATTAAATTCTCTTATATTCTTATTAATTTCTTTAGTTGTATCAATTATTGAGGAAGGGGTGTTGAGCTCTTGTGCTAGAATTGTAGATTTATCTGTTTTTTATTTCAGCTCTATGGTTTTTGCATCATATTTTGCAGTTCTGTTGATGCATTCACATTTATGATTGCTTTGTCTTTTTGGTGGATTGACCATTTTATAATTATGTAATGTCTTTCCCTGTTCCTGTGAATTTTCTTTGTTCTGTAGTCCACTTTATCTGATATTAATATTAGTTATTCCTCTTTCTGTTGATTAATGTTTCCATGATATATGTCTTTTTCCATCCTTGTATTTTCTACCTGCCTATGTTGTCATATTTAAGGAGAGTTTCTTGGAGACAGCATTGTAGTGGGGTCGTTTTTTTTTTTTTGTACCCTACCAATCATTGTTTTTTAATTGGTAAAATTTACTTGGCTAGCTCCTCCTTGTTAAAAGTACTAAAACTGCCTGTAATCCTAGCTCTCTGGGAGGCTGAGGCGGGCAGATTGTTTGAGCTCAGGAGTTCGAAACCAGCCTGAGCAAGAGCGAGACCCCGTCTCTACTAAAAATAGAAAGAAATTAATTGGACAACTAAAAATATATAGAGAAATTAGCCGGGCATGGTGGCGCATACCTGTAGTCCCAGCTACTTGGGAGGCTGAGGCAGGAGGATCGCTTGAGCCCAGGAGTTTGAGGTTGCTGTGAGCTAGGATGACGCCACGGCACTCTAGCCCGGGCAAAAGAGTGAGACTCTGTCTCAAAAAAAAAAAAAAGTACTAAAACTATTTTCCTCCGTATTATTTTTCCTCGATGTAAAATTGACTTTTATTTTGAGCTTTAATCTTTTGAAATGAATAGTCTATGAGAGATCAGCTCCTATTACTGAATACCAATTTGAAATGCTGTGTTTTTATTATTATAATTTTGCTAACTCATTGCTTGCTGCAGTGCAGTGGAGTGATCACAGCTCACTTCAGCTTTCCCAGTACCTGGGACTGCAGTCGTGTACCACCATACCTGGCTATTTAGAAAAATTTTTTTAGAGAGATGGTCTCTCTGTGTTGCTCCTGGCCTCAAGCAGTCCCCTTGCCTCAACCTCCTGAGTAGCTGGGATTACAGGCACGAGCAACTGTGACCAGCTTGCTTACTCATATTTAAAAATCCCAAATACTTGTGTTGGTTTCCAGTTTAGTTTATTTTCCTTAACTGTCTTTAAGACAGAAGTTTTATGAGTTTTAAAGTTTGAATCCTTGAATGCCTGAAAATATTGTTGTTTTTGATTTTTTCCCTACATGAATGTTAATTTCTTGGGTATATAAGTCTGTGTTTTAAATAATTTTCTTTTGGAACTTTGAAGCTACAGCTTCATTGTCTTTTAACATCTAGTGTTGCTAATATTGGTGTGATTTCTGTTCTCTTATAGGCAATCTGTTTTTTCTCTCTTAGGTTAAAAATTTAGAGGCAAAGATTGGTAGCCTTAAGTTTTCTATTTTGTTTTTATTTTATTAGTAAATAATAATACTATAAGAATTAGGGTGAATTTGAAGATGGTTAAAATAAAGGGCATTGTATTTTAACAAAAAACCAAATTTCCATGTTTCCCCAAAATCTTAAGTTTAAAATAAAAAGAGAAGGGCCTGCCAAAGTTAAATCTTCCTTCCTGTTGTCATTCTGCCATATTTTTAAGTACTTGCATCAATGAGTAATATTTAATTTCCTAAAGTAGTATATTCCCTTCCCCCTTTTTTGGCTACTCCTGTTTACATATTTTGAAATGGAATATGACTTCCTGTCTTCTGAATGGAACACTTCAAAATAAAACTCTTCTTCAAGGCAGTTTGTAATTTTAGTTTAGATGATGAACTATATCTGATACCCAAATTGTACCTACAGTACTTATCCTGGTGTTTCCAAATTTATAACTGTTTTCCACCTAAGTTTTACTTGAAAAATATAAATAACATTGTCTTTTAAACTACATTGTATCTTCTTCTATCTTTTTATTTAGTGATTTTTTTTTTTTTTACCTTAGACCTCGTGTGGACAGTAATGACCTCACGTTTCCGATTGCCTGCTGGCAGAACCTACAATGTACGAGCATCAGAGTTGGCCCGAGACAGACAGCATACAGAGGTGGTTTGCAACATCCTTCTTCTGGATAACACTGTACAAGCTTTCAAAGTTAATGTAAGTATTTTCTATCTCTTAAATCATCTCTGGTTATAAGTTTGAATTTAGATATATATTAAAACTAGAACCATTAAGTTGTAGGATAGTTTGATAAGTCTTATTCAATTAAGAAAGTCTTTTGGATGCTGGTTTGTATTAGGTACATGTTCTCATTCAAACTGGGTCTTTAAAAATTGTTGCCCACTGGACATTGTGGACAAACCAGCAGTGCATTATGATTAGTAGAGCATATGAATAGTATATGGGTGGTTTTCATAAATGTGCTTGAGGGCGCATTAAGAATTTGTTCTCCTAAATAATTTACACATTTTCAATGTAATTTTACATGTACTCTGTATGAATAAAACTTTTGCTGAAAGATAAATGACAGCCCTGATCTTATCTATCATCTGAAATATTTACTTAACAAACATTTGTTCATCCTATTTGTGTCTGACTTCATTTGCTCATTGTTATTTGTGAGTTTCACCCATGTGGTGTGTTAACAGTAGTTAATTCATTTTCATTGCTACATAATACCCTTTTATATGAATATACCATAATTTACTTATCCATTCATTTACCATTTACTTATTCAGTTTACTGTTAGTATATATTTGGATTGTTTCCACTTTGTGCTTTCAAAAAAAAACACTGCTATGAATATTCTTGTGCATATCTTGATACATACAAGGATGCATTCCCCCTTTTTATTTAAAAAATTTCAACCTATAGAAAAGGTGAGGCTGAATACAGTGGCTCACACCTGTCTGTAATCCTAGCCCTCTGGGAGGCCAAAGCTGGAGGATCACTTGAGTTTGAGACCAGCCTGAGCAAGAGTGAGACCCTGAGACCCCATCTCTACTAAAAATAGAAAAAAATTAGCCAGATGTGGTAGCACATGCTTGTAGTCCCAGCTACTCCAGAGGCTGAGGCAGGAGGATGATTTGAGCTCAGGAGTTTGAGGTTGCTGTGAGCTGGGCTAACACCATAGCACTCTAGCCTGGACATGAGAGCAAGACTCTGTCTCAAAAAACAAACAAACAAACAAAAGACAGAAAAGGTGAAGAGTATAATAAATACATACCTTTTAACCTCGATTGACCTAGTGTTAACATTTTGCACATTTGCTTTCTCTTTCTTTCTCTCTGTGTAGTGGGTGTTTTTTTAATTTTTTTTTTTCCTGAACCTTTTGAAAGTAAATGGTAGACTTCACTCATAAGTACTTCAGCATCCTAAGAACCTCCAAAATTACCACAGTACCATCGTTACATCCCAACATTGAACATTATGAAATTAATAGTGTCTGATATTTAAACTGAAATTCCTTATTCTTTTTGAAGTCTCCAGGCTGACACCTCATCTGTTCCCTGCTGTATTACCTGGGTATTTCTATACTTTGAAATCTTTAAGTAATATAAAATATTAATCTTTCTTGTTAACGAGTTTCTTAAGCTTAAAATTTTCTGAGTATTATTTTAACAAGATCATTAATTTATCTCAAATTCCAAGCCATTTCACATTGGAAAAAGGGCTGCGGAGTAGTGAGATGTGCATCATTAAGAGTATCTTTGAGGTTATCTAACATACCCAACAAATTGTGCTTTTCTAAAAAGTTAAACTTTCAATTTCTTTTGTATTCTATGGTCTATTAATAGATAGTTGAAATACAGATTGCCAAACAGATAATGTGAAATGAAGGGAATTCTGCTTCATAAAAATTTCTAGTTAGTAGAAATTCTCATGTATTAGACAGTTGATAGAAGAAAATGAACTTTTTTTCCTGTTATTGACGCGTAATAATTCTTTTTTAGAGGGGTATAAACTTAATAACTCTTATTTTAACTTAGTATTACTTAATATTTAGTTTTCATTTTAAGTTACAGTTTTGCACTTGCTTCAAAATATTGTAAAAGTCTTTGCTGTGTGTGATATCGTGAAATATATATTTGGTCTTTGTCCCATTTCCTGGCATACAACTCCTAAAATCCTTGGAATCTCCAGTCATACCTTTTGTATGCCAATGATTGATTGATGTCTTTAGCTTGGAGCTGGTCACCAGAGGTCAGCCCCACCCTCCAGCCTCTGGGAAGGTGAGAACAACTGAAGGTCAAGTTGATCACCAGTGGTTAATGGTTCAATCAATCATGCCTGTGTAATGAAGCCTCCATAAAACCCCAAAAGGATAGGGTTCTGTGAACTTCCGGGCAGCTAAACACATGCAGGTTCCTGGAGGGTGATGTACCCGGGAGGGAATGGGGAGGGTGCCCCTTCTCCCTTACCTTGCCCTGTGCATTTCTTCATCTATTTGCCTTGTAATATGCTTTATAATAAACCAGTAAATGTTTAAGTGTTTCCCTGAGTTCTGTGAGCTGCTCCAGCAAATTAATGTAACCCATGGAGCGGGTCATGGGAACCCTAACTTGAAGCTGGTCAGTCAGATGTTCTGGAGGCCTGGACTTGTGACTGGTGTCTGAAGGGGCCAGTCTTGGTTGACAGTTTTGGGGAATGAGCCCTCAGCCCATGTGATCTGACACTATCTCATGTCAGAATTGAACTGAATTATAGGACACCCGGCTGGTGTCTGCTTCTTGGTGTGTGAGGAAAAACCCACACACATTTGGTCAAAGAAGTTGGTTGTTGTGTTGGTGTGAGAGCAGAGGAAAACATGGTTTGAGTTTTTTTTCTGAACAGTTTCCCAGTTGAAATAATTTTTCTGTTGGGAACTTTAATTGACCAATAGTATGCTGTATTTTTCAATGTAAAAATCAATTTGTGATCTTATTACTCTTTTATAAAAACATGTTTAATATATATTTGTATGTATATATATTTTCTATATATAACTGACAGTTTGAGTAGAGCTGAGTATATTACTAGAATGATAAGTACTGTGGTGCTAAAAACTTTCTCTACCATTATCTCAGGCCATCAAAAAACTTACTTAAAAGGAATAAGTATCTATGAGATTGTCTGTTGGATATGTATTAATAGTATATTTATTCCTCTGGGTATTTGGACCCAGGTCATTCAAACTGAAAGAGTTGCTTTGTACTTTTGTGTAGATTGTTACCATGTCAATCTATGTGAATGACACTTTACAACCTATGGAGTGCTATGTGGCAGCCTGCAAACTAATTGAGGATTTGAGAGCTGTGATTTTTTCTGTCTATTCAGTACCATTAAGTGTCAGAAATTCTCATTGTGGGCAGCTTCTAGATTTATCAGCATCTCTCTGTTAACTAAGAAGGACAACCACTCACTTTCCTTTGGGGATTAACAAGCAATGATATGTAAAATCAGCCGTTGAAGTCATTGCTTTTTATAAAAGATTTTTATACCACAGGGGAAATATGCATTGTTGCCAAAGCCTGCTTTTTTTCATCTGGTAGTTATCCCATAAAAGCTATTTCTATATCTTTTCCTGGGGGAAATTGATATAATAAAGGAGTTAATATAACTTGACTAGATCTTGATTTTTTTCTGCTATGGACATAGGAGTGAGATAAGCCTACTATCACTAGGCTTATGTTGGCTTGTTTTGCTCCAGGTTTAAGTCCTATTTTCACCGTGGCTTTGGCACAGCCATTTATTTGCTGTAGCCAGCCTATGGAGTGTGTTGTCCCTCTCATGCCATGAATTCATTGTCAATTCACCAAAAACATATTTTCATTAAATACTTTAAGATGTATAGTGTCCATATTACATGGATTGATTTCTTTAGCTTGTGAGGATTTTCCCCCTAATTTTGGCTTTACTTTTACTTTGGTACAGCTGTTTAACAGTAACCTGTGTGACAAGGAAGGCTGGGGAGAATCAGCCTATTTTAATTAGTGTGACTTCATAAGAATTTACCCCAAAATTTAGTGGCATAAAATAACCATTTATTATACCCAGGGATTCCTATAAATATGGCTTATTTTTGCTCCATTATATGTTAGGCCTCTGCTGGAAGACTCAAAGGCTGGAAGCTAGAATCATTTGGAGGCTTATTCACCCATATGGCTGTTACCTGAAACCTTAGCTTGGGCTGAAGCACCTGTATATACCTCTTTCTGTCTTGGGCTTCTTTATAGCACAGTGGTTGGTTTCCAAGGGTAAGCATCCTTAGAGAGCCGGATTGCAGCTATATTGCCCTTTCTGATCTGGCCTTGGAAGTCACATAATGTTATCTTCATCATATTCTGTTTGTCAAGGCTGTCACAGAGTCGTGCTCAGAGTCAAGGAAGGGAAATAGACTGTCTCTTGATAAAAAGTAGAAGGGTTCTGGAGGATCATATGGGATCAGAAATATTGTTGTGGATTTACTGGGATAATACAGTCTGCCAGTATGGTTCCTGGTAGAGGCATCCATTTTGCCCCAACCTTATCACCTATTTCACCCGCAGTCTACCTAGGAATTTCGTCTAAGAACTGTCTCCCTTGCTTCTCAAGGGGTAGCTACCATATTAAAGGTCAGAGATGAGAGGTGGGTTTAATTTTTATTATTTGCCCTTTTGGTGTTTGAATTATTTATCTGAGTGTATCATACTTTAAAAATATCTGTGTGTATGTGTGTGTATATGTATATTTTTAAAATTCAATTTATATATTTTTTTATTTTTTATTTCTTTACAGGCAGGGTCTCACTCTGTTGCCTAGGCAGGAGTGCAGTGGCACCATCATAGCTCACTGCAACCTTGAACTCCTTGGTTCAAGCCATCCTTCCTCTTCAGCCTCCCAAATGGTTGGGACTACAGGCGTGAGCCATCACACCTGGCTAATTTTTTTTTTTTTAACTTTTTGTAGCAATTGAGTATTACTGTGTTGCCCAGGCTGGTCTCAAATTCCAGGGCTCAAGCAATTCTCCCTACTTGGCCTCCAAGTGCTGGGATTACAGGCATGAGTCACCGTGGCTGGCCTATATGTTTATTTTATATATATATATGTATATGTAATTGATGTATGTATGCACTTCTATCTGGAAAAACTGAAAGAATATTCCGAATTTATCAATAATTTATTCAACATACGTTATT